ACATACCGATGTTACACTTTAAAAAAATCTTTTTTGTTGTTACACTTTGAAAAAATTCGATTGTGTTGTTTCATTTCAATAAATTTTTTTATTTTTGTTTCACTTATATGTGTTGTGAATAGAAGTTGCGTTTTCATTCTCGGACATTCATTTAAAAGTTAATGATCGGTTTGTGCACAAGCCATCATGATGGAGAATAAATCCCTATGAATCAACCTACCTTTTGGACAAACCTTTTACCAAGCCATTATTCCGGATGTATTTTATACGAAATTCATGCACCATGCCGTTTACCCATGGTCACCATGGATTTTCCCATTGTCCTTCATTCGAGGTGAATAATTCGAATTTTTTTGTCCTTTTAATTTTTCATCAGACTCAACAAATCGAGGAGCGTCAACGGCGAAATATCCAAAAGTCGCGTCCGTATTTCGAGGAGAAGCAATTATGTCAAGAGCAGCTAGAAACGCAAAAAGAGCGAATCCATGAACTTGAAATTCAAATAAAGAGTACAAAGGCATCGTATGCGATGTCACTGAAAAATTTGGAGAAAATCAGTGAAGAAATCCATCGTACACGTGGCACGGATTTAGGTATAACACCGCCAGGTCCCCGAGAACCAGGTGTTGGTGCAACCGATGACGATGACTACGAAGATCCCAACTCAAGTGATACCATCAAAGGTGGCAGTGGCAAAAATCACAAACTCAAGAATTTACCAATTGCCGACATTATGACTCAAATGGAAAATGACAATTCACTGGACGCAACATCGCTCGACACCAATTCCATATTCAGCGAGGATAAGGACGATGAAGATTATGCACAATCTTTGGACGATACATCCAGTATGAAACGTGGCATTTTTGCCGATGGCATCGGTTCATGTAGCATGACAACGAATAGTCGCAATGAACCGGCCGACATAACATCGACCGATTTTGATAATCACGAACTGAATTTGGAAGAGCTGCGGCAAAAAGTCAAAGTATTAGCCGTGCGACCGGTTGAAGGTGGCGATGGACAAACAAAAGACTGCTGGGAAAGTGAACTCAATGAAACTGTCAATAAATTGGATCGTCTGATGATGCTACAGGAAAATAATACAAACGTGCGCAGCCTGAATTCAAGTCAAGGTAAGGTGAACAAATGAATGGATTCCTTGAAAAGGACTAAAGGCTTTTACTTAGATCGACTTTTATAGCCTTGGTCTTTGAGTTCGACAATTCATTCGAAAACTGCTACGGTTTTCCACGAAATTCTTGGAAAAACGTGTATTTTTCAAGTGAATTCTTTCTTCTATGTAATATTTCTTCTGCAATTTATAGTCGACCTTTTGATTTAATGAACTATTTCTCGTTGTTCACAGGTGTTTTACACAATTCTCCCGCAAAAATGCCACAACAGCAACAACAACAACAACAACAACAACAACAACAACAACAACAACAACAACAACAACAACAACAACAACAACAGCAACAGCCACAACCAGTTGGCGGTTTAACGGGTGGATTGATGGAAAAGCCACCGAAGCCAATAAAATATTTGCAGGCGAATAACAATCATGGTTTTTACACGCCTACCCACACCATATCGTCTTCGTTGAGCCGAACCATTGAATCGACCAACACCACGCCAGTCAATAGCAGCCAGTCAGCCAGTACAACAAAAACCTTTTTAAATAATTCATTGCAAGCGATGCAACAGAAAATGGAAGATCTGTTACCAACCAGTCAGACAACCACGTCATCTACATCGTCGTCGATCACGAAAGAGCTACCATTGCTGAGTCGAATTTCAAATGAAATTTCGGCAAACACCGCAAACACGGTGAAAGTGCTAAAACGACGATTGTCATTGAATTAGTTCATACAGGACATTGGCTCATTGCGATCACCCGATTGAGAATGTCGACACATCTCCGACATGTATACGTATTAAAATTGTATATGCATGGCAGTAAATTTACACTGACAGAGCCAGTAAATTTTGTAGCTGTTTATAGACTGTTTGATGGCAGCAACAACACTTGAAAGAAAACGTTGTTTCATTCGCACGAAAATGAAATGAACCGATGAACCAAGGAATCTGATCAATGCGCGCGTTTACGGAATTTCATTTCGAAATGTGCACAATAGTCAAACAAAAAACAAATGTTGTATTATCAGAAATAGAAAATACGGAACCTGAGACAAAATAATTTATCGTAGATAAAAACCGAAGAATTTAATAGGAGAAAATGTTGTCTGGAAAATTGGAGAGAGACAAATAGCAAATACTTTTACCGTAATATTTTAACCACTTGTTAGATTTATCATCAGCGAATTTTATCACCGAAACGGAAAAAGAAAACAAAAGAAAAAAACAATTTATCATCAAAAAAGAAAGCCCTATTAGAGAATATTGAATGTGTGAATCAATTTAACGCAAAGGATCGTCTATTTTTGTTCCTTTCCAAATCGCAAATACCGTGTTTTCAAACGAAATCAGAGATGGTGGCCGCGGCAGACAGAGAAATGTTTTTGTATTTTCATATAATTGAATGTGTACATATGTTTCGAATTTAAGTCTGTGTCATTCATTTCAGTTGGTTGACAGCCGCTCAACTCTTCGTCTGATTTTTTTTTTCAATTTTCTTTATTTTTCGTTATTGGTCAAAGCAATAAAATTGCAATAAAAATTTGACTTTTACAGAAAGGAAACAAACGAAAAGTGCATTAAACGCAATTGGAAACAATTGATCGGATTTTAAATTCAGTTGATTTTTCCATTTTATTATCTGACCGAAGTGAAATTGAATCGTTGATATATTTTGAATGAGAAACCTGAAAAATGATAGTCAAATTGCTCACAGTGAATACCGAGAGAGAGAGAGAGAGAGAGAGAAAAACAAATCGAAACTATTTTGTTTGCAAAACCCGAAAAATTTGCGCGGATAAAACTCATATGAATTGTAACGAACGAATCGAGATGAGCGAATTGTTTCCTTTGTTTCGTCTGTTATGCCTTAAGTTTAAAACTAATTTAAGTTAAGTTCTCTTCTTTATTTCGAATCTGATTCCTGATTAGAGTTTCGCTAGAGCTTTTGTTTTAAAGAGACGGCATTTATCGAACTACAAAATATTTAGCATTTTAGCCAAATTTTTTTCTTCGTTCTGTTTCTTGGCAAATGTTCGTGACAAATATGCACTTAAGCAAAACATTACATTGTTACAAAACAAATAAAAAACTAACTTAACTATTGGAATAAACCATACACATTTTAAATGTATCTAGATGATTTGAATGAACAATTAAATCCATTATGATACCGTAACTGTGACCTGTCTTTTATTTCCGTCTGGAATTGGCTTCATACTTTGCAGCAATTTATTTTTTGTAGGAATTTTAACATCTGCCTAAAGTAACTGGCGACTTGGACTCTTTACGCTCTGATCGATTTATAAAATACCTTTTCCAGTTTCAACAAATTTACGAAGACGATACCAATGAAATAATGACAAAAGTGAAATGATATTCGAAAAAGCGAATGATTGAAATGAAAATCTAATTTAGAGTTCGATTCAAATATTTTCAATTCTGCTTTTGTGAAAAGAAATCAATTAGAGTCAATCAAAGTTGACAATGACTAGAGATATAAGATAAGAGTTCAACCATTTGAAAAAATCAAAGTGAAATAAATCCTTCTTGCTAAATAATACCGAAATTATAATAATCATATGTGCGTGGATCATGGATCATGGTTCAATAGATGATCAGCTTCATTGACTAGATCGAGAGGAGAGTATGTGAAAAAATTCTAATATATTTTGAAAGAGGAGAGTATGTTTTCTGATGATTCTGTTGGCGTCAAAGTAGAGTATGTTTTAGTACCGTCTACCCTCCGCGGTCTTCATGGTTTCCGCGGAACTGATAAGAGATAACAACATGGTGTCTTCGGCAAGGTTGTAGTACTTGAGGTCTTCTATAACATTGCTGAAGACATCTATCTCTTATCTCTTATCAGTTGCGCGCAAATCGCGCACACAAAAAAGCAAATTTTATATAGAAATTTTTTTTCTTATCATTTTTCGCGCTTTTCGCGGAACTGATAAGAGATAACTGACTTCAGCAATGTTATAGACCTCGAGTGCTACAGCTTTGCCGAAGACACCAAGTTGTTATCTCTTATCAGATCCGCGGAAACCCTGGAAAACCGCGAGGACCCGCCAAAAATGAACATACTCGCCTTTAACCATTTTTGAGTCGAAAGAAACTTTCTCTTCTCTTTCATAACAAAGTCAGATGAACTTACTCTCCTCTCGATCTAGTCAATAGAGCTGTACTTCTGAAAATGAATTTTGCATTTAGGTGTATCCCATCAGAGACATGAGTTTACACAAATTGAGGCAAATGCGACAGTAGTTTTTTTTTATTTCAAAGGAAAAATAAATTTTTCATTCCATGAGGCTTCAGTGACGACCTTTGGGACACATATGTCCCATTTTGTTTTTCGCGTATAATTTCCACATTTGTTGACTGATTTTGATGAATATAGGCTTTTTGGAAAGAGAATCAATGTAGCTATTGATATTTTCCACCGGCTCGCTCCACAGATGCCTCCAAAGTCAAAAAATCTTAACTTTTTTTCCACATTTTTCAAAATCCTATATTTTTTAAACGGTCAGAGCCACAACTTCGGAATATTAGGTGAAAAGATGCGGGCAACCTTCCTCTTTCCAAAATCACCTAACATGATTGAAAATATTATCCAGGCGATGAGATATTCCCACCCGTTCAATCTTGGTCGTCAACGGGTTAATGACCTAAAATTCGATTCGTACTTTCATAAGACAAATTGTTTTTCATTCTCCAAAAATACATAATCAAGGACGCGTTCAACAATTTTTGAGATGCTAACGTACGGCATGTTAACCGGATAACCACACATTTTATACTTTGACTATGTGCTCTCATACAATTTATTGGTGTAGGTTTTTTGTTTAACGCCAAAGCATTGATCTTCTTCTAATTTTTGGAGAATTTGTAGCATTTTGGTGAATCGTTCATTCCAAATCGTTTTGCGTTGCATTTGCCAGCTACGGAATTTTTCCATAATTTTCGTTTCGATGCTGTGCTTCAAGTTGCTGCTATCTAAACTGTCGGTGTATGCAAGTATGAGATTATGTGCCAGATCATTTGATGCTGGAGATGATTTTAAGAATAGCGTTTTTCGTAGTCAATGAAAAGAGAGAGAATGAAACGCACTTCAATATAAATTCGAATTTGTCAACGTTTTTATTTTCAGATTCACGTTTCGTTTACAATATTTTTCTGTAAATATTTTCGCAGAACACTTATTCGAATATTCATACGTCATTGTTTGATATCAGGTGGCATCTTCATTCAAAAAAGCAAAATAAAGACAAACAAAAAATAATCTTCAAATCGCCAAAATTATACCCAATAAGACCTAGCAGTAAATGTAATCGATAACTCTACAGCTCATTTATTGATCGAAATAGTAAAACTGTACGAAGTTTTTTACTTCAAAAAATTGCATATTTATTATAATTCAAGACTGTCAACCATTCGGAATCCCCTTCAAATGCCATCAATTTCTTTTTATGTCCATTGGAATTATCAAAAAACCTGGTTATGTTTATCAATCGAATTTTTAACTTCTTTTGATTGGTGCGATTTTTAACGAACTTCAAAATATCATCATAATCATGTTGATCAAAGGGTTGAATGGCATTGTCTGGCCAATGTATATGCAAATAGAGCAACTGATTTGCATGCTGTAACATTTGCTTAATCACATCGAAATTTATTTTAAAGGATCCATTATGGTAAATGTTTAGGTATTTAAGATTGAATAAATTTTGTGTCAATGAAATCAAATGGTTCTCGTCAAATGATGCATTAACATTGAGTGTAAGTTCGTTAATATTTTTTAAACGAAACGTTTTTGTGATCGAATCATCAAGATCGATGTCTAGTATAGCTGTTCCTACGATAATTTGAGTTTTTCAGAAAACTTATTTTTTATCAAAATTCCATTTTGAAATTCTAGGGTTTTAAAATTTGAATTCGTTCAGTTTTTCATGACGAATGATGTGCTACTTTCGCTTTAAAGATTCCATAAAGCTTTTCGAAAGAATTGATTAATCAACGCTCGTTATTAACAAAATTATCTTAATAATATGTTATTAAGATTGAATCTTAATAACGAGCGATTTTACTCAATTCTTTCAAAACGCTTTATGGAATCTTTAAAGTGAAAGCAGCACATCATTCGTCATGAAAAACTGAACGAATTCGAATTCAAATTCAAAAACCCTAGATTTTCAAAATGGAATTTTGTTAAAAAATAAGTTTTCTGAAAAAGTCAAATTATCGTAGGAACAGCTATAATGTCTAGATTCAGTGCCGAAACGTTCAAGCTTCTCAAACGAATACTATCATCTTCAGTGATACCTCCATCTTGACTATAATTCAATTCCCAAACTTTTGGCATATTCTGATTCAAAAAACTACGGCCATGTGACGATTTTAAGGTAATTTTTTCAATTTGTGGATTACACTCTAAAAATCGATCAATTCCTATATTCCGAATAAATGCTTCAAATTCAACTAATTTCGGAAAATTACTGGCTGGCAATGTTAAATCATCGGATAGATGACAACCACCTCTGATTATCAAAGTTTCTAACTGAGTCTGAGATGGTAAAATGAAATCCTTGAATGGTTCCAAATGAGAACCACACATAAAACCCAAATCTAAATATTTTAATTTCGATAGTAATGATTGAATCTCAGTCATTGTTTGATTTTCGACGCTGGAAATCCGAATGTCGAGTCGATTAAGATTTTTGCAATATTTTTGAATCATTTTCAAAACAGCATCCGATGTACCTGCCACTTCTTCCATATAATTTATACCCAATGTCAATGACTCAACTGTTGAACCAAAATCGCGTAGGAAATCTTCAATTTTCGCCATTTCCAAATCTTCACTACTTAATCGGTAATCCAGAAAATCAACACCGTTACGTTTAATTTTTGAGGGGAAAATTGTTTTGCCGATCTGCTCAAAACGTTTGCAAACTTTGGAAATTGAATGAAAATCTTGAATGTTTGTTATTTCGTCGAAGACCAATCCGATACAATCGTCATTTAAAGTATTCAGAATGTTTTTGGGGAGTTTTGCTCGGGCGGTTCAAACACTTGAGCTGGTTCCGGGTATATATCATAAATTTTTTCATCAGTTTTTTCAAGTGATTCCACTTTGTATTTACAACCGTCGATTATGACTTGTCGCCGCTTCACCATCTCAACAGCAATTTGTTTACACTTGAATGCAACTAGTACAGTTTGTTCTGTACCAAAACGTCCAATATGCAGAGTTGATTCCACTTCGCCAAATTGTTTGAAATATTCGTACGCATGGTATTCGGTATACTGAAATTCGAAGTAAATATAACAAACCGTTTTAGCAACTATGGTCGCATAACACATTTTATTCTTGGAAATTTCGATTTATTGAAAACTCCCAATTTTCGTTCGATAAACAAACAATGAGTTGAATAACACAGTTACACTTACATGTCCGTCAAATTTTTTCCCTGGCAGTGGCTCAGTGGAAATGATTCGAATTGTTCGATCAACATCATGCTCGCTGAATATACGCTCCCAACTTTGTTTAAGTTGCTGCTCCTCTTCCTCGTTCATTCTCCCTCTCTCTCTCTCTCTCTCTTTCTCTCTCTCTCCAAATGAATTTCGATTTCGTAGAAATGTATCAAATTTCACTATGGAAAAGATGGAATAAATTTTATTTCCACTATTTGGAATTCAACTGAAATATACGATTCTCAGCAGATTTCTCGGTGAAACGATCAATTGCAATGATTCAAGTAAACTGATCGCACCAAACTTAAGTGACACCAATATTGTCTTTCGAACCGATGAAGAAAATCGAAGAAAATAGACACAGATAAGTGAAGTGTACGCAAAAAATGGATACTCGCTTTATGCATGTGATAGTATGAAGTAAACAATGCATTCTAGGAGGCCATACTCACAAATATGCCGAAAAGTGCTATACGTTATGCGTTTTTCTTTCTTTCTTTCTTTCTTTTTACTTTCCTCCTGTTTGGTACGAAGCATTCAGGTACAATTCTTGCAGATGCCCTTTGGAATTTCCAACATTTTTATAACTGATTTTTTCAACATTCCCCATGTTAATCATGTCAGGTTCACAAATCCTTTGCTGTATATCAAATGTAACGAATAAGACGTGCTAATTGCTTATGCCTTAAAAAGGCAATCTTTCAGAAAAGGAATATTCAAAAAAAAGGAATTATTTCAAGTTTTGAGAGAAATAAGAGTTCTGAGAAACGATTCAATTCATATTCAGATCCTTCACCTCAATTTTGTTTTATCATGATTTAAGAAAAACAAACACAAAATGATGCACACAACTTTATTTCATTTGATTAATCCAATCAATTTGATGCAATGGAGGTCAATGGAAAGTGTCTTGAAATTCACTTTTTCTTAGCTACTCTTGAACCGTTTGGCCGGAACTGAACATTCAATTAGGTCATCGCCTTGGCGCTTTCGCTCCGATTTCTCATCCATCGAAATGTCTTTCTTCGGTTCCTCAAAATATAAAGCTCTTCGTGCCGTTTCGTTTTGTCCATTGTTCCGGCCAACGTTTGAAGCACCAAGATATTGCTCTGACGATGCTCTATTCACAGGAGCAAACATTGGATGATTGGACATTGAATGCGGTGGAGTCTGAAATATTCAAATGAAGAAATTATTGAGTTGTAAGTTCGACTCATGCTGGATCTTGCATATTTCTTTGTGTTAAAAGTGAAGTTTCCGAGTACTTAGAAGTTTAAATGCTCTTCACATTAACTGTCTGCGTTCTTTGCTCATCTAGAAAACCATTTCTCAGCAAAGAAAAACCGAAAGAAAATCTTTTTTTAAACTGACAGAAAAAAAACTTCTCAAAAATTCCACTTTTCACTAGAAACACCGTGTTGATAGAATCGTGTAGTCGAACAATTTTCTTGATTAACTTTTATTCACTCACCGGCATGATTGCGATATTCCCTTGAAAGTGGTCAACTTTTCAAAGAATAATCCAAAACGTTCACGTTTCTGCCTTTTTCGTTCACTTATTTCTGTGTTGTTCGCAGTTCCTAACAGTTCGACTCCATCAATTCGGACCAAATGAAAAAAATTGGCGAATAAAAATGCCGGCATTCGGTCGAAATGGTATTGAAACGAGCGACAGTTGTTGTTTTCGTTTTTGAATGTGTAAACATTTGCATCGCTGATATATAAAATTCTGTTTACATCGCACAAAATCGAATGAGTGTCCGTTTTATTTGAAAATTAAACACACACACATCAAGTGAATGTTTGCATGCAATTTCGCATCGGACGCAAGTTTATTGTGATTGTGAGCTGTAGACAACGCATTCTTCATGTAGAAATGGGTCAAATGAATCATTATCGATTTTATTTCATTGATATCAATACGATGTTTTGACGGCGAACCCTTGGTACTTAGCTCATTACATTCGTTCTCTCCTTCCGACAATACAAGATATTCGATTTTAACAACAAATGAAACACACATAATCATATTGCCATGAGTTGCAGTGTGTTCAATTATTTATTCATTCAATGTTATCTTGCAGGCGATTGCAATGTTTATTGCGTTGCACTTTCTTCGTATAAATATGTCAGTCTTCAATTTCATTTTGATTCATCGTTGAGTTTGTTTGGATTATGTGTTGTCTTGAATCATCATCTAGATTTGTTTATGCTTCGCTTTCTTTAGTCATCAAATTACTCGGTGAATGAAATATTTTCTTTTGTTTTGGTCAAGAAAAAACATTGATTGCAGCCGAAGAAAAAGTATGAAATATTCGCATTTCTATGAAAATTGGGCATAAGTGGATTTGTTCTATGGAAATGGCAATTTTCTACGCTAGAATCATTCGCCGAATGTGAAAATGAAAAATATGACCTTTTTTTACCTCAATTGAATGTAGAAAAAAAAGAACATTGTCAAAACGTAAAAAATCGATTTTGAACATAAATCCTTTCGATAATGATTGGTGATGATAAAAGTATCAAGGTCTTCTCATGTTTCTGGGCATCAAAGGCAAATATGAGGGCCTGAGAGTGAAAGTGACCAACAAAAATTTGAGCGTAAAAGTGACCTAACTCCATATAAAACACATGCTACCGTCACGCTGTTTTGTATGGAGTTAGGTCACTTTTACGCCCAACTTTTTGCTGGTCACTTTCACTCTCAGGCCTCCATATAAGATTGTATGCGACTTACGTTATTTTTTGCTCACCATTTTCTCACTTTTTAATTGCCGTTGTACACAATCATTACGAACACAATTCCTATTCTCAAACAAAAATACCATCGAATCGAATATGAAACAGCCCTCCACTGGAAGCCGAAAGAGGGTGATAATTACATGTTTTTACAAACTGGCATTTTTAATTTGTTTACCAACGTACTTCGTCACAATTGCAAATCGCAATTTGCGACACAAATATTGGTTTCTTCTTAAATAATTAACAGATGATGAACTTATGAAAAGTGAAGAACATGCGATTTGTTTTCTGGAACATGGATCGCAACGCGAGAAATGTTCTTTTAAAGAAATTTAAAATTGCACCATGCATTGTAATTATAGTTTCGATCAATATGAATTTCAATTAAAAATACGTACTGAGGTGCTATAAAAGTGTGAGCAAAATTGACATCTTCATACAGTTGGATTTGGTCATCCATAATGCACTATAGACACAATTATTTCGAAATGCAATTTTCCTCTTGGTTTGGTTTTATGCCCACAGAGAATGGGCCGAAGCGTTCCGTTTCGATTGCTGTCAGCTCGATCGTGCAATTTTTCATATTCATCCTTTTTTTACCCAATGTAAGTCGATTTTCAATTACTTTGGCTGTTAAAATTTTATGTGTTCACGTTAAAAAATCATACTCTTTCAAATTTACCATTTCATTACAACAATAAGGGGCTTACATTCTATCGAAGTACTATGATAGATTTTGATATGGATCTGGCATTGGAAAGGTAAGATCCGTTGGAAATAATTAATCCGCAAAAGGTTAAAAGAATTTCCTTAAATCCGAAATCCGAAATCCGAATCAAAATTAAAAGAATCTCCAAAATGTCATAGTTTGCTGTTTGTGTCAACATATTTCATAATCAATGCACAATTTTACTGTGCACGGTGGAACGTATCAACACTACGACGAATGACCATGTCATTAACTGACGAGATTGCTCAAAGTACTGGTTTTGTTTGAATTTTTTTCCGTCCGAATTTGATAAAATCTCATATAAATTTGATTTAGGAGCTGAGACGGATTCAGGCCGATTTTACTTCAAAATGGAACAACTATTCTCTCTTTTGGGAAAATGGTTTTCTTATTTATTGTTTGTGTCGACTCTCACACTTATAGTTCCACCAATTTGCTTCACATTTTACGATCTTTGGCAGAATGATAACATGACCAAGGATATGTGGGAATTGCCAATGAAAATCACGTAAGCAGAAAAATAATAAAATCCAAAAATCTGTACGTAAATTTACCTAAGCATATTCCAATTTCACACAGACTCCCGTTCGAAATCAATAGTGTCCCGATATATTTGGTGGTACTTTTTGTGTCATCAATCAGTATTTGGTCAATGACGATTTGCAAAACGATGACAGCTGAAATATTTTATCGCTTTGGACTGCATTTATTGGCCCGATGCCAGGATATGGAACTGTTGTTGGAAAACATTGGCAATTTGTATAAAATGTTAAGTAGCGAAAATGTTGAAATTGACACATATTTGAATTTGTATTTGTTTTCTGTTCTATTCAGAAACAATAAGAAGAAAATTAAGGACTTCGGTGGCAAACTGAGAGTTGAATTGATCGAAGTTATTTCATTGCATGGCAAAATGCTGGAGTGAGATATTGAATGAATCCATTCAAATGTTCGAAATCGTTGATTATAATCAATTTTGAATAATATATCTACTTCCAGTTTCTTTCGGGGCTATGACAAGGTGACAAGTGGAATCATATTCTTTGAATTCACAACGTTGTTTTTCCTACTTGCTGCTGCTGGATGCTCATTGATCAAAAGAGTACAATATCAATTAATTCAGCAATACATTGAATTTTGAAACATATTGTTTTGTTTTTTCAATGGTTTACAGCCAATAACTGATTTCGATGTCAATACGATCAAATTTAATTTTGTCGTAATGAGCGCACTATGTTCCATGTTCATATCATCAGTCATGGGCAACGAATTATCGTACAAGGTATGTGTTTTTGATTCATCTTGAATATACAACGATTTTCAACCCTATGTCAATGCAGTTCGCAGAGATGAATACTAGCGTCTATGCCAGCGGATGGGAGAAATGGCCACCCGCTTTGAGAAAGTACATTATTTTCATATTGATACTAGTTCAACGGCCGAGGTATTTGTCGGGTTTTGGTTTACTAAGATGTGATCTCGTCACCTTTGTCCAGGTTAATAGCTTTGGTACTCATTAGTTTGATCATAATAAAAAACCAGCTTCTCTTTTAGACTCTCAAAACAATCACATCGTTCGTTTTGATTCTCAAAGAAATGTAGATGCCAAATCATTTGGCCCAAATATAAGTTTTTAGTTGAATTCATGCTAGCAAAAAATAGAACACAATTTTCAGAAGAAGAGAAATGAAAACTAAACTTGACGCTTAATAGATGCTTAGTCACAAGTAAAATTAAAGAAAAATAAGCAATTAAAAAGTTTGTAACCTTCGAAATGTTCTGACGCGTCATACTAGTCGCGAATAAGTGTAAAATTAGATTGATGCGAAAAGAAAATAAAATAAAATGAAAATGATTAAAAAGACGAAATTCAATAAATGCGATGCTTTCAATAAGTTGTTTCAAATAATATTTGTTGCTCATTTGTTACCCATTTCGTAGGTTATTTGATTTGGTGTGAGGCGTGCTTCGAAATGTGTTAATTTTCGACAGAAAGAAATAATATCGAATTTGGTTTAAGTTTGTCAGATGAAATGTTATGTGTTTCTTTACTTAATTTGAAATTACGTTTATTTTCACACTATTCGCAACTGAATGAACCGAATGGCATCGTTAAGTGCATTAGTATTGCCTTTTTTGCACCGCATCATATGCAGAGGATGGAACATGAACTCTGCGTGGGGTAGAGGTTTATAAGTTGAACCACCCATGATATTCCATATTTTGAGAGGGAAATACATAAAAATTAGAACAGTCGTCAAACTGGGCTTGTCAATAGCAATTGAATTGAATTTATTTCACTGCCAAATACTGGCTGACTCAAAGGGATATTGCAACTTTTTTTACCAAAAAAAACGCCATCTTACGTCGTGCCCGTAAATTATTTTACTGTACATTTAGATGGTAGAGCTTGAACAAAAGTTCGACACTATGCATAAACTTGGAAAGAGCTTGATAAACTTGATGAAATACATATATTTTATGGTCGTTGCAATACCCCTATGGGCTGACTAGGTGAATACAGTTTAGGATACAGTAAATTTAGGATACAGTAAGTTTGTTAGATAGATAGTTAGATAATTGGTTTTGGGTAGATATTATAGGTTTTTATGTTTTGGTTTTTATAGGTTTTTGTGTTTTGATTTTCGTGTTTAGGTTAGCCTCCTGTGGTAGCAGGTATTGTCATGAATAGAATTGATTCATAAATAAATATCAATATGTAATTTCATTCAATAACAACGTAAGTTTACATGATAAACAAATGAAGATTTCTTAAATATTAAAAGAAACATTTAAACTTAACGTTTGAAGAAATTCAAATAATTCATGTGTTCTAGATGTTACGCATTATTTCTATATAACAGAGTTGAGATAAAAATATACTGGCCAGTCGCAATCAAATATACGAAGTGAATAGTCGGGTGAAATCAAAAGATAATTTTTCGAACATTTGTCAAGTGTTGATATTCTTATTTTCAAATTCCATATCATAGAGTAAAAGTCCACAATGAAAACATTTGCGTTGCTTCAGCGTTATATGCAATTGTTGGGAATTTGGCGACAAAATTCTAGCGGCGGTTGGATTTTGTCCATCGCATTGAGCTCCGTGTATCTGGTACTTTCTTTAATAACACTTTTTTCATCGCTTGGATTTTTCTTGTTCACGGCTCGATCATTTAGCGAGTATGTGGAAAGTTTCTATTATATTTTGCATTCTTTGTTGCTGCTGTCCTGGTATTTGATCTACATGATACAACGAAAAGAATATGCAGCACTCATCGTTGAGCTAGAAACATTGATCGAGAAAGGTGAGATTTTTTTTTTTCGAAACATTTTACTGAAGTTGAAATTTCAAAAAAATATCCTCATTTCCGTATATTTAGGGAAGCAACGGTCAGATTACAGTGTAATTTATGAAGCGGTCGATAATCAAATAGAAACTATGGCAAAAAAGGTGCATGTGGTGTTAATGCAAGTGTCCGTCCATTGCTTCATTTTACCGCGAATTTTAATTTCAATTTATAAGTACGTTTCCTCAAATTTTTCCAACGAATCATTTCAACAAATGTTTCCAGCAACGTAAGTTTCCATTTCAATCAATATCTGAATCGATAAATTCAAAATTGATGGAATTTCTTTAAACTCCGTGCACATGTAAGGTATTTTTTCGAATGGAAAACTCCCATTGGATATTCGATGTGCATTGCTTTTCAAGGAGCAGCTGCTTTGGCCACTGTGGAAATTTTCGTCTGTACTTTGACTTTAATTGGTGGTTTCTGTTTGTTGATGGCCACTTCAATTACGGATATTGAAAAAAACTTACACTTTCTAAATGTGAACATTATTAATGGAGAGGAAAAACCGACAAAAAACATTCGTTTGAAGAAGGAATTTCGTGGAATTATGCAGTATTATTTGCGTGGCAAAGAGTTGAGTATTTCCTTTTCATTTTTATAACAAAAATGTGTTTTACTTTTTTCCTTCTTATAAAAATTGACAAACTAATTTTACTCGAACCCGACTCAGACTAACGAGTGCTATCGTTTTTGCTTACATAATTTTCACGATTTTATCGTTCGTCAGTCTGTTTCTCCAAATGAATACGGTAATTCGATTCAAGACAAAAGGCATTTTTCAATACCCAATAACATTTGCCCATGTTTGCTTTCAGTCACTTGCAACCGTGTATTTTGTGAATGTTATGCAGCTTTTGGTGCCGATATTGACCGCGGTATTCTGGCTATTTCTTTTTTGCTTTTTCGGGAATCATGTGACGCAACGGTTTGAAGACGTCGCAGATATAATGTATCAACTGGATTGGTATATGCTACCGTTGGATTTGCGATTGAATTTACCGTTTTTTATCGTTTTGGCTCAGAAAAAAGTGTTTATTCGAGGCTTTGCCGGCACTCGTTGCACCTTTGAAATCTTTAGGCAGATTATGAAGAACACATTCTCCTATTTCTTGGTTCTTCGACAGTTTTATTAATGAGATTCTTAATGAGGACGGATATTTCTTCTCAAAAATTGATAGGTTTCGGTAGTTTGTAGTGATTGGTTAACGGGCCAAGGCATTCGTTTCAATCGTAACAGATGGTATCCGTGTTTATCTTCGTTCCAAATCATTTCATTTGATACCAATATCGATTATCCACATTAATGTACATTGTATGGAAAAACAATGAAATTTTTTTTTTTCGTCAAACTCCAGAAAATTTCATTCGAAAATCAAAACGGCATTTATAAGAACCATCTGGAGGCCGCGCGAAATCAAACGGCCCGCATAACATTAGAACCATGAATCAAAAAAGGAGAGATAACTGGCTACATACACACACACACACACACACACACACACACACACACACAGACGAACATTCAGTTTTATATATATAGATGAACAAATTTAATAAATTATTATTAATCATATTATTTGTCTTAAATCACACTTCATATCACTTGATACCCACTTGATGGGGCTACTGTCTACGATTTGCAGCAGGTGCAATTTAGTGGCAAAGCATTTCAACCAAAACTTGATTACAATGATAGCAATCTTAGAAAGTTCAATCGAATTTGTAAATCACCCATATTAAATGGGACTATTTGTGTTCGTTTTCATTTAAATTGGCGTTTTATTTGTTTTGTTTTTTTCAAATTTTATTAACAATAAAATGTTGGAATTTTACATTGTAATTACAGAATGTGTTGTATTTTTGACCTAATTTATGTTCATTTCATCTTTTATGTTTATACTCTTCATATTTGTTATTTTCTTCTCGTAATAATTTTCACGCAAATTAAATGCTAATCATTTATGTGTTTTATTTTTGGTTTGATGATTTCCCATTTTGTCTTGTATCATTTGTTATATTGCATAGCTAAATATTGTAAATATCATTGAAAAAGGAAAAAAAAGGTAGGAAAACCAAAAAAAAAACAACAAAAGAAGTTCAAAGGCTGTTTAGGCGTTGCTGGTCAATGGTGTTTGTTTCAATTGCAGAATGATTGATCGCATTCGACTCACATCACGGCTGGATTTGCTGGATTTTGGATTGAAGTCACATAGCTTGGCGATGCGCTCCCATTCGGTGCCGGGCTCAATTTCTGCCGTTTCAGCTACGAATTGTTTCTCTGCATTTCTGTCATCCATTAAAAATGAAACCAAAAACAATTAGACAATTATTTCGAATCGAAAAAAAAAAAAGATTAAATGAAGAAAAAAAATATCAAAAATGTCTAGTAAATTCGCTAATTTAAAGAAAAATCAGTTACAAAAAAGAGATGACTATTTAAATCTAACGGAAAAAAACGGTTGCAAAAATGGTGGTGGTGTTCTAAAAACTAAAAAAAAGATATAAAACAAAAGCTCCAAAGTCCAAAGCACCCGTTGAAGTATCGGTGAGTGAGAAAGATTATGGTAAATTAACGAGAAAAAAAAATAGAAGTTTGAAGTACTGGGTGTGTGATGTTGTGGTGTGAATGTAGTAGCTAAAAAAACAAATCAACTTCCATTGAGGCTACCGAAAATAAAAACAAAAAAATAGTACCCATCTAAAGCAAGCACAAGTATCAAAAGAAACTTTTAATGATCTAAGAATACCAAATGCTTCGATGAGACAATAGTGTAAGGTGACTAAAATCGGCTAAAAATCAATCCGATTCTAGAGTAGTACAAATGCAAATAGAAATGAGAAAGAACCAACTCCAACAAAGAATTAATAGAAGATAAACGTGGGGGTGGGGGTGCAAAAACAGAGGGAAGTAAATTACATGTGCACATGGACAACCGTTCAACAAGTTCTACTTGTCGATTAGTTTTTTTTCCGTAATGCAGAGAAAATTTCAATGATCATAGCATAGAAAATGAGAAAGAATGGGTTTGGAATAGAAATGTTTTGATGTCATTTTACTGTGAAACGTAGAGTTTAGTAGGGTTTTTTTTCCTGTAAATCCTGAATTCAGAATTGGTTCTACACTGAATTTAGTATTTTTGAGTTCGCACGTTGATGAAAGATTACGTCAATTATGGAATGAAAGTCAATGGACATAATCCAGTTGCTTGAGATGATTTGATTGGTTATTGTTGTTGAGGCCGGAATTGAGCGCAACAATGTCATGGAATGGTTTTGTTGTTGATTTTGCGCATTTTATGAACGCATGCACACAAGTTAATTCTGAATTCGATGCACAAACATAATGGAATATGGATCAAGAGCAATCACAATGCAATAATTCGAAACAAATAACAAAATATATGATTGATCTGAAAAAAAAAAACAAACAAACAAACAAACAACGAACGAAAAAAAAACACACAAACACGAATATGGCAACAAGGCAAATATTAGGAAAAAAAAACACGATCGCTCTATGTTTTCACTAATGCTAAAATCTTAGCAAACGTATAAAATCTATGTAAATTAGTTATGTGTCGGTTTGTTTCTACTCACTTTGCCGATTCCCTGTGTGTTTGTTGTTTAGTATTGGGGAGTTTTGTTTTGATTTTGATTTTTGATTGACAATTTATGTCATTTTTTTTATTGTTTTTTTTTTTGTAATTTGGTTTTGTCGTAAGGGAAGATTTGATGAAAAAAAAGAGGAAAAAGCATAACTTTTAGCACCATATAGTCATCTTAATTGTAGAGAATATAACAATTAATATACAAGCAATATAAAACAAGGAAAAAAAAATATTATTCATTTGTTTATTTTGGAACACACACACAATCGATGGAAAAAGGGCGTTTTTCGAAGATAAAATTTGGTCGTCGGATTTTTGAAGAGATAATTTTGCATAGATAGAGCTATTATAGTTTGCCAATCTAAGTTTAAGGAAAGATTGTGGCTAGTAATTTGAACAAAAATGGGCAGCTCCTTTTTGCATCGATAACTTCGATGGCCAGTCATTGCAAATCTGCTAAGGTGAGCGCTAAGCCGTCTTGAATTTGCATGTATTTCGCACAGACACTGTCATTTCCATACGCGTATTGACATTAACGCAGCAGGCTGAATAGTTCGCTTCACTCAACGGACTAAGCGTTCGCTCGTTTAGCTCTAGCACATTTACAATGAATGCCGATGGCAATAGAAAACTTCATCAATCTTCAGCAAACTCAAGACAAAGATTCATATATTTCAGCCAGGTTTATGAATCTCGAGCCAAATATTTACGAAATTTTCCATTTGCCCCCTTTTTTACTTTAAATTCTGGTAATTCTTCTTCGATTTCAACGTTTTTTTCTTTTTATTTTTAAGTTGACAATCTCAACTGTTCACAAAGACTCTGTTTACGACATTTCATTATGACCCTATTTGAATTTCGAATAAACACAGATTTTATCTCGGTATAAATGACATTCGGATTAGTAGGTGTACTTTGTACATTGTTCATTTTGAACAGTGAAATTCATCGAATGTGTTTTTTTTTACAAAATGAGTGTGCGATATCTTTTTTGAATAAATGGTGTGGTCGTTATTATCGCCTTTGAGATATGGACACTTCCGAAAGGTTTGATTCTTCCGCAGAATTGAGTTTTTTTTTATATATTCACTTTTATTAAGCCATATGCATAAAATTTTGATCGAATCCAATTCATCAACGATAGGCCAATCATTGAAAGAATAACCATAATTCAAAATTGTAATTTGAAGTAAACAAAAAATAAAATATCAGCAAATAACATCAAAATAATTGGCTTGAAATTGGCCAAGGGGAGAACAAGAAAAAAATTAAGTTGTGATAAAACATGAAAGCAGCGAATCAAAAAGAAGAGCGTACAAGGGCACAAAAACAGAGAAGTGAAAAATCGAAAAACAAAACGAGAATTAAAAAAAGAATTAGCACCTAAATTAAGAAGAAGAAAAAAAAATTTGAGCCATTGTGAGAGGCAATGAGCGAAATGAGAACACATACTAGAGAAATATTGCGAAATATTGAGAAATATTCACCAGAAATGCGATTGAAGAGTGAGAAAAATAAAGACGCACGCTCTCAAAACTCAAAATCAAGAAAGAAAACTAAACGAGAAATTGGGAATTGATGGAACAAAAGAGAACTGATCGAAGCAGCGAAGGAGGAGGATGAATAAATTGCGATAATCTAAACGGCCATTGATAGCAAACAACCAATTCGAGGAGATTCGTTGGAAGTTTTGGATAAATAAAAATTTTGTGGAATGGAATTTACCTATTGGACGCTTTTGTTTTGCCGATTGCTTCTTCGTGATGCTTGTACCAATCTTCGAGCTCTTTTTTCGCCTGTTCGCGCAACTCCAGCTTCTTCTTTTCCTCTTCCTTATCCTTTTCTTCAAGACGCTTCTGCTGCTCCTCACGCCATTTCTTTATTTTCTCCGGCTCTTCGCGCACCACCGGTGCAGCTGTTGATTTTTCACAAGAAAAAATGATTTTTTTTTTTCATTCAAACAAATATTCAAACGAAAAAGACAAAATGCAGTGAATGTGAGCAATAAGATGGTCAAATACAAAAGCGAAAACGGTCTTTTTTAGCGATTACAAAACATTTTCTTTTCGTGTGTGAGGTGTTAGTTGATTGCGACATACTCTCTTGGTCAAATGAGCTTGGATTTTGTTTGTGTGCTGATTCCAAACAAAAAAAAAACAAATCAAATGAAGTGTGATCAAAACGGATAAAAAATGAAAATGCGAAATATAATACAAAGTATGAAGCGTTTGTCTGATTGGCAGTGCAACACTGCACCTGGTTGATGAGCAAAAAATGGTGATTCAATCCGTGTTTTTTTAGCCTTCAATCGAATTGAAGGGTTTTGCTTTTTAGTGTTGCACAAACACAAAGTGCATCGCAATGATAAAATCGATATTTTATTCTTTTTTTTTAATTTTGCATAAACAAACAGAAAACACACACGTACACACACTTTGGTGTTGATTTGAATCGCTTACCTTCATTAAATTCGTATTCGTAATCGTAGTTAACGACACCTTTTGTGAAAAGAAAAATAGATGATCGACATTCGATATATATTGGGAAAAATTAAAAATTTCAACGTCAAAAGTAAAGGGTAAATTATTATCAACTTAAAATACTAAAATAAATGAACTGAATCAAGTGGATGCAACTTGATGGAAACAAAAAAGATGAAGAAAGTAATGATGCTGCGGTTAATTGGCGTCTATTTTGCCTGTTAGATTGTTAAATTGCTGTTTCGCTCGATGCGTGTTTGAATCAGAATATGTTTACGCTTTCGTTGAATCAGAAAATGGGAGGTGGTTCGATGGGTGGGTGGGAAATCGTTTGGAATTTAGAAAATGTCTTCATTACCTGTACCGTTTGAAGCAGAAAAATCCTGTTCAATGTCATTGTTAATCATTTCAAAACTGCCGGAAAACTCTTGTGTAGCTGGTTCTGATTTGTGGAGCAAAGTGCAATTTTCGAGAGAGGAAGTGAATGCGGAAATTAAATGGCAGTTGGATGATGCATTGATTAAATTGTTCATTCAAATAATAATGAAGCATTGATCGCAATTCGATTTTGTATGTGCGAATTGAAATCGGTTGACGTTGTTATGGTATCAGATTTTTTTTTTTATTCAATCGAAATTGATTTGTATGTGGTTATACAAATGCAGCAATTAACACCAAAATGAAAAGAAAAGAAAAAAAAAACAAAATTAAAAACCAAAACAAAAACGAAACGAAAAAGAAATTGAAAAAAAGATGAAATATTGATTAAAAATTGGAGCGTTCAAATTGGTAAGAAAAGAAAATCGATTCGGAATTTCTGAAGATTTTCCAAATAATTGAATCAATTCTTCTGTTTAATGTTTAAGCCAATTTTGAACGTTCCATCATTGCAATGATCAATATGCCAGAGTATATTTTGTCAAGCGAAGCACTTGTCATCCAAACAGTGTGTGTGTTTTCTCTCTCTTTCTTTCGCTTGTGTTTCAAGTCGAATATGGAACGCCCCTTGAAATCACAGGCCTTAAAATTGAGACCGTCAAACTGCGACAAAAAAAAACACATTCCATACGAAGATAATTGAATTAATGCGTTGAACACACAAAATTTCTCGCAAAGTGATTGCGTTTTATCATCCGTGAATGTAACGCGAAATCGTAGGCTCCATTGTATTACAGTGATGGAAAGTTTTTGTTGTTGTTACTGAGTACGGTTATACTATTTACCTGAATTGGCCGGTGCATCATCGCTAGCATTCGATTCACTTGCTGCTGGTATAACATCATCGCCCAAACCAGCCAATTGATCCTTTTCACGGGCCAAAAATTCCGCAGCTGGATCAACATCAGCTTGATCAAAATTATCACCGAATCCGTCCATGACTAATATGCGCTCTTCCCGTGTGTTTATTTTTTTAAACAATACGATGAATTCAATACAGTGTGTGTATGCAAACGGAAGACCACTCCAATGAAATTCTAAATACGACAACGGCAAACGAAACAAAGAGTCCAAATCAATCAGAATTTATTCCAAAATCACAACTCGAAAATCATACACCGTCAAAAAAATTCCAATTGAACGAGATGTGAAATGCAATTTAGTGATTTTTTTTTATGCTTACACGATAAAAGACACGATACGTTGTCTTGCAACTCTTGCTCTCGCTTTCACACAAACGACAATACTTGGAAAAATCAATTTGTGTATATGTGGACAGAGAGTGACTGAAAATAATGACAATCACCGAAACGCTATCGGTTCAAATGTGTTGCCCGATTCGTGTGAATAGCGGCATGGTGGCGACCTCTAAATTTCAACTATGTGTTCACATTTGACACAATCGTATATATTTATTCGAACCGGAACATTCTAGCATTTGCTTTCTTGCTGTTTCTTATACGAACCGCTGCCACAGTCCATAACAGTGAGATAAGTTGATGTGTTGTTTTGATACTAATACGTAGTTCCATTTATAAGTGTTGGTACAGTGAACAGTAATCGAACAGCGAACAGATCCATTTTTTTTTTCTGTCGTTCATTGTGAAATTCGGTAGATCGTTTTGGTTTCAATCTCAAATAGCAATACATTTTTCAGGGGAAAAAATGTCTTTAAATACAGCTCATGCCAATAATGGCGTTTTAATTCATGCTGGAGAAGCGTAAGTAAAAATTTTTCATTGATATGTGCTGTTATTTTGTTGATTTCATTCCATGTAAATGTGATATTTTTGGATCAATTGTATCTTCGAGTCGATTTGATTGGAATTCCATTCGGTTCGATGATAATAATCACAATGATTTTTTGTGCGATGATTTTCGAATTATTAACCATTTCGAATGATTTGATTGCAATAATTTGGAACGAATGCGCAAAAAAAAAATCTAACCAACGATGACTCATTCAATCATATGACGTGAGCCGTTTTCTTGTGTGTATATATATATATGTATCAAAAGCCATAAACAAACACATCAGCATATGAAGATGCAAATTATTTAATCAATTTGATCACACACCGGATTTATATAGGCTGATTTTGAGGCTGTAAATCCTCAATTCGCTGTACGCCAAAATATTTAATGAGAGCCACAACACACTTCTGCATATGACAGCCAATTGTGATTTCTACGATTTTCCCATTAAACAGCTGATATTTTTCGTTGTGATCCACCTAATTCGAACGTTATTTTTAATTCTTTTGGTAATCAGTGTATCGATCGACTCGCACAAAATCGGCTGTTTAATTTGACCTTCATATCAAGTGTCGGTATTTTGATAGCTTTGTTTTGATCACTGACTCATCACACTATTTATTTACATGATAATGATTTTCTTCAATAACAACGAAAAAAAAACAATGAATCAATCCCCTTTGTACTCAAACAATACTCAACTGTTGTCTTTCGGTTTTGATCTCAGAATTTTGCTATTCAGTGAAAATGTAAACATGGAATTTTCCGGTCAAGATGGGCCAGCATTCAAAGGCACCAAACATGGCTCAATCTACTTGACCACACATCGTTTGATTTTTAATGCCAAGAAATTTGAAGATGCCATGAAATCATTCAGTTTTCCATTCATCTGCTTGAATGATGTTGAGGTAGAGCAGCCATTGTTCGGAGCGAATTACATTCGTGGAAAAGTACGTGCACAACCTGATGGCAACTTTGTCGGCGAAGCTAAATTCAAGATGACTTTTAAATCGGGTGGCTGCATTGAGTTTGCACAGGCAGCCCTTCGAGCTGCCCATATGGCGCAACAGAATGCTCACGGTGCTGAGCCACCACCATACTCACCACCTTCAGGTAAATGACAAACAATCGAAATGATTACTACAAAGATTTGTTTTTGTTCAAGTGAAAATGAACTTTTGATCTTTTTTATCCATTTTTGAACTTTCAAAACATTTTTCATTCGGCTCATAGTCAGAAGCTAAATTGAATTTAACTAACGTTTTAATGTTCATTAATAAATTCATTTATTCTATATTTCTATAGGTGATTGGCATCAAGCTCCACCGCCTGCATACACACCAACACCAGGATACTATGGATGGCTGCCGCATACGGTTTTCCCCAATCAACCAGACCCATCGCAAGTCTACATGCACGATAGTCCACCACCTTATCCTGGAATCGTGCCGAACAGTATGTCTTCGCGAATTTTCTTCTTTTCAATGTTTCTTTTCTGCATTTTTTTCGCATTTTTGTTCATTTTTTTTACAAACTATTAGTCAACAGTGATAAATGTTTGATTCCTTTATAGATCCACCACCAAGTTATGGTAACTATGGTCAAGCACAACCCGGCTATCAACAACCCGGTCATCAGGCCCAAGGCTATCCACAACCAGGAGGCTATCCAAGTTATCCACAATCCGGAGGCTATGGTCAACCAAATTCAGGCAATGCCGGTTATCCATCGGAGGGAGGTTATCCGCAATCAAACCCGTATCCAAGCCCTTATCCAAACGCAGGTGGGTATCCGCCGCAATCAAATAACACGTATCCACAAGTGCCAAATGCGACGCCTTATGGTAATCCAGCACCAAGTTGTGAGTTTGCTTTGTTTTTTTCTGTTTGCACACTTTATTTTCTTTTTCATTTCGATGTGATTGAAAGGCAAGACGAACATGAAATTCAGCTTTTTTCACATTTTCTTTGAACATATTTTTCGGTTGAATTCTTATCATTCTTGTCGACTTGAATTTCCAATTTTTTATTATTCAAAATTGCATTTTGTTCGGATGTCTTTCATAGATGTTTTTTTTTATATTTCGTTTGCTTGTCTCGTTTGAAACTAAGATCTTCAGCGTTTCTCTTTGCTTCAATTGACAATCTTTTTTGTTCACCGTTTTAGATCCACAAGGCGGTTGGTCACAACCAAATCAGACTCCCAGTTATCCAGGCTATCCTCCAGCTGGTGGAGCTGCTGCTGGTGGCTATGCACCACCACCAAGTAAGTCACTCTAGTTTTGTGCGCTCCCTTCAGTATTTTCCATTAAAAATCGGCCTTCCTTATCGAAAAAAAAAAACTCAGAATGTAGTTGATGATCAATTACAGACGTTTCCATATCATCGAGTCGATAAATTACTTTATCAATTGTCGACACTTTCTCTTTTCCTCATTTCATATTCAATAACAACTCCATTCTGGGAAATATCACCAGGAAAAAGAAATTACAAATTCATTTACATTGAAATTTTCTTAATTAACACTTTGTACATGTAGTTTACTTTAATTTCCAAATAACTGTCTTTTTAATGCTTTCTTTTTCAATCAATTTGTCTGGTTGCACTGTGATGTCTTTGCTAATAACATCTTTTCGCACAGATATGTAAATGTATTTTTTGGTATTCAGATTCGAAAGAGGCAGAAGCAGCACAGTCATCATACAATCCGGTTCAACCAAATGCTCCATACGCTCCACCACCAGGCTACAATGTGAGTAGATTTCAGAACTTCAGTCGAATTATGACGAATTTTGTTGATAAAGAAATTTTGATTTGGTAGAAAAAAAAGTGTGTTATTCTAAGGTTTTTACACTTGCATTGCAAGAAATCACATACTTTTCGATGCAAAAATTAACGTTGTCACCAACAATTCATCACCACTGACTCCATTTTGACTTTGAATGAAACTGATTTTTAGAAAAACTAAACACCATTGTTCAATTCCAGGATCCACCACCAAGCTACGGTTCGTTGAGCGACAAAGAGCGAAAAAAACAATAAAATACCAATCATCGATTTTTGAATGAATAAATTGCCTCACAATCAAACACGACACTTCAAACTTATGATTGTTTCAAATACACACCTCGGAAAACTGAAGCTAAAACATTTACATTTTTTTTTAAATGAATTTATGAATTTTCTATTAAAAAAATAAATAAATAAATTATAGTATTACATACAACGGTGGCGAAAAATATTTCGCTAAAAAAAATTCGGCCCAGAGGCCTTACAATCAAACTTTAATCGAACATAAATTTGTTCCTTACAGTTTGATCTGATGAACACATTTTTACAACTAAATCATTCACATTGTTTATTTAAGATATAAAATGAAATGAGATCTATGTTCACACTATGATTGTTAGATTTTAGTTCTTTATTGTATCCCGCAGAAATAACTACAAGAGAAAAAAAAATACACATAAAAGTTCAGGTGAATGCAACTATTGTTAACAGTGAGATTGAATTGCGGTGCACGTTTCAATGATGTCTGTCGTATGTCGAATTTTGAATGAGTTTAACCAAAGGAATCACCATTCCAAGCACTAAAACAATTGTATAAAAATATAATTTAAACATATTTAGAAGAAATAAAATCCATGTAATCCTCACTTATTCGTACTAATCCCCTTTCTGTTTAAATTAAATTTCAAAACAACAAAATAATCCAAATTTTATCGTCGTTATAATGATTCTTTGTACTTTAAATAATAATTGCAATAAATGTTATATACAAAAGAACAACGAACGATGAACGGTGTTTATGTGACCCATACATTTTACTGGATTAAACCTCTTTTACGTTGACCAGCTGCTGCATTTGTTGTTATTATGCTATTTTGAAGGTGTGTATAATTGCCACCAGAGGTCATTCGATTCAAATGCAACACAGGTGAAATCTCATTGCAATGAAGGTGAAATCATTAGTCCTTTCATTATGACCAGGAAAAAACTATTTTCTTTTGTGTTGATATTCAATATCCACAAATTGGTGCAAGTTACATGTAAATGTAAAAAAACGCCTTAACTTTCGGTTAACAGTTTTCAAAAGTTCGCGCTTATAAATTTGAAATGATGGCACCACCGTAGGATTGATATGGTCTACATTCACATGTGATTGTGTCAACATATTTGACAGTTTTGTTAACGGCGCATTAAATTTAATGTTTCATAAACAAGTTGACTGCAGACTGTTGAAGACTGAAAAAAAACGCGTCTACAACGAGCTGACCGCAGACTTTTTTGTTTTATCAATTTGGCAAACATTTTTGAGTGGAAATGAAAAACTGATTTTCATCCATCAAGTAAGTTCTTTGTTTTTTTTTGTCATTTTGACTGTGAATAATCTGAAAATGGTGTTCTCTGAATTTATGCATTAAGCACTTTCATTTACAAAGGTTTTTTTTTCAATTGTAGACTGCAACGAAATTCAACTATGGATGACGTCAAAAAAATATGGGCGAGGCGATCAATAGACCCTGGAATCATCGACGAGGAGCAATTGATCGACGATTGTTTGGAATTTAAATTACAAAGAAAGCACATTAAGTAAAATGGAATAACTGAATATGGACCAGAATTTGCTGGAATATCCTGGGTCTAGAGCGGCTCATCTTCTATCACTACAACTTTAGAAAAATCTTCAATAACTAAATGATCGAATGACATAATAAGCAAAAATGTCACCAAACACTTGTACTTACCTCTGAATAAACACATCTGATTTGCAAAAATATGCAAATATATTCTGTTTTATTGTAGTTTTGTAAGAAATTCACAAGATATTTACCTACCGAAACACGGTTTTTACATCTTTTCAGGAATCGATGAATCAAGATTTGAAAGAAAAAAATTCTCAAACTTTGAAGTTGAAAGTCCCATTTCAATTGCTATATATTCGCAATCCACCAGAAAGAAGGAAAAAGGCAGAAAAAGAACACAAACTGATTCATTTTTAATCAAATCCATTTATTTCTATTTCATTTTGTATTTTAACATCATTAGTGTTCAGTTGTTGTTGTTGTTGTTTGTTTGTTTTTGTCAGAGCTGACAAATTTCGATATAAGAATTTTTGTATGTTTTGCCGTGTAATGATTAATGTTTGCGGTGAGTGTGTGTTTTAATGTAAGCCAGGAGTATTGCTCCCATCAATTGCTTTCTTTTCCTCCGATTTAAATCTGAGTTCTTGTGTGTGTGTGTGTGTGTGTATGTGTGTGTGTTTCGTTTCATTGTTTTGTTTTTTTCTTCATTTCTGCGAAGTACAATACTTAAGTGTTAATTAAGGTTCAAACGACTGTCTAAGTGGTACAGACACATTGAGCGAAACCAAGGGACTGTTACATCGTAATTTAAAGTTCATTCATTAAAAATATAAACTACACAGGAACACGAAGATATCGACTATTTATTTGTGTGTGTCTTTCATTTTCTTTTCCTTTTCCTTTTTAAAAAGTTGCGTTTTTGTTTTCTCTTTTAAAATTGTTATGTTCTGTTTGTGTATCTAACAATTATAATTGAGATGGCATGCATGCTCAAAAAAAAAAATATCTCTATGGAAACGGGTCATTCTTAGACATTCGGAACCATTAAACAACTAACGACATTGAAAACTTGGGGAGAAACGAATCATTTGACTTTGATTCGATGGGGTAGAATATCTAAAGCCAAATGTTGAATGGAACGAAGAAGGGATCAAAGGAACAGCCAGGGGAATAAAACAAAAACGAAATCAAAAATCGAAGATTGAACAAAAAGTTATTGTGTCAAAGCCATTGTCACCTGTTTGAAGAGAAAAATCAAATCAAACCAACAACAAACCAAAGAGGAAATTCGAACCAATTTTTGAGGTTGCAATTGTTAAGGGAGAGGTTTTACGATTTGGGTTTTTTTTGCCTTTTAATTTTTTATTCTTTTTTTATCCGCTATTTTTACATTTAATATATATTTAATATAAACATATATGATTGTTTATCAGTGGTTTTCATTCTTTTTCATTTCCATTCCATCTCATTTGCAGGGAGAAAATGTCAATCTCATCTCACGAATTAAAAAAAGAAGAAGATTGAGATTGTTTCTTTACTTCAAATACTTTTTTTTCGATTGAATGTTTTTTTTTTTTGCTTTTCTTCGACCTTAAAAATCGCTTGGTTTTGCTTTAAATTACATAAAATTGCCTCCAATAGATTATTACAAAATGTTGCATTAAATAAAATTCTATAGTTGAACATAAAAAGGATTTTCGTTATTCTAATTTGCGTATTGTTGAATTTTGCTTTTTGTTTCATCATCATCATCATAATTATCAGTTGTTGATGACGATTTTTCTTTCGATTTTTTTGACTATCCATTTAATTTGTTCATTTGCTTATTGGTTGCCGTGTATGAGTGAGTTGATTTTCTTTTGCGTGTATTTAAGAGTGTTGTTGCTTTTTTCTTTGCAATTTTTGTGTGTGTGTATCATGATTTACGTGAAATAATCCCGTTGTGATTTGTAGGAATGATAGTATGTGTACAATTGTTACAATTTTTTTCTTTTTATCCTTTACTAAACATACAAAATACTTGTGTTTCTCTTCAATTTCATTTTTTTTTTTCATTCTCTGTCTCTCATCAAAATCCACTTTGTTTGACCGATTTCAAACCGATTTCACGAAACACAAGTTTCACGTTATTTCTTCTTTCAGCTATGTCTTTTCTCACACGTTCACAGTTTTTTCTTCCATTACTTGTTTAATTTAAATTACGAATTCGGCAACGGTTCTAGGTAACATACAACAGTGTTATTTTCATTTAACATTGCAGATATATTGCGCCCAATTTGTGGCGGATGCTTTGGTTCTTGCTGCGACTGCACAGACCTGCAAATAAATCGGGAAATTTTATTAAAAATTATTCAGAATTTATTGAACGATTGGATAAAGTTAATGATTTTTATGTTAAGTTAAAGATTTTTTTTATCATTTCGATCTTAATGCTTAAGCCTTTGAATGCAAATTTGAAGAAAAAAAGAAAGAAAAGGCAGGCTCGGCCTTGACGATCATAAAAACCGAAAAACGAATAGCGAGAAAGAACGACCAAAAAAAAAAAAAATATTACCTGCTGTGAAGCGGCTGTTGTTGCTGTGCCGATGTTGTATCCATTTTATGGGTGCTATTTGTGTTCGCGATTCGCATGTTTTGCAGTAAATTATCGCTATCTCTGGTTGGTGAATGTGGATATTCGTTTAAATCGCTGCCATCACAGTTTTCCGTCGTTCGACTCATAATCTCCTCATAAACTGGCTCTTCGTCAGCGTAGCTGTTGTAATTCTGTGCATCAGCTGGATTCATTTGTTGCTGCTGCTGGTGATGTTGTCGACCATGTCTCACATTTGGATTGGCATTCTGAACCCATGAGTTCCGATTATCGCCACGTCCCTGGAAATCACCCGTCGATCCAAATGTGCCACGCATATTTGGATGTGATGGTGAATGTGGATTGGCCGCTGTTTGTTGCTGATATTGCTGCATCATTTTCTTGCGATATGATGGATATTGGCCTTGGGCGTGCATCATTTCACCGCTACCAACGCCGCCACCTGACATTGGATCCACCTCATTTGGATGACGTGACAATTTGTTCAATTGGTAACTGGTTGGATCGGCGGTGCCCGTCCAATACGAGTAATCATGCTTCATTGGCGATGACAACATTTGCTGTGTCGAACTCGAACCTTGTGATTTCAACGTTTTACTACTGTTACCCATTTTGCGATCGTAGTACATCATTTTTGCATGATCATCGGCTGAAACACAAAACGAAAGGGAAATTAATTTACGATATTTTATGAATTACATAATTGGTGGTTAAAACTGTTGAAATGTTCATAATTAAGTCATCAAATTTTCATTTTCGTGATGAAAGTGATGGAAAATGAATCATCAAACAAACAAGAAACGCATCGAATAAAAAAATGTATGTTCATCATGATTCGAATCAGCTTAAAAAATTAACTTCAAACGATATGACTCATTCAATCTGATGGAGATTAAATTAATGAGCCAATCGAATAACGGAATGCTCACCATGTAGTTGATGGAATTGTTGTGAGTTCGCCGAATGTGGGTAAATGAGTTCAGGGTTTTGGAAATCGTATTGATATTTTTGACCGCCTCCGGCATATTTGGATGAGCCAGCCGGTGTCATGGTGCCACTTCGATGTTCACGCAATGTGCCCGAATACGGTGGCATCGCATTGTGACGCTGCATTTGATGATGACGCATCAGTGTGCTGGTTTGCCCGTGTGGATGATGTGCCGGTGATACGGTCAGAAATGTTCCGGTTACATCAGCAGCATCAACGGGACCGTTTTTCTTTTTGGTTGACGTATTTGATGCTGGAAGCAATACATTTGCACTCAATGCATTATTGGCAGGGCTGGCGGTTGGCTGATCTTCATCCACAGTGACGACACATTGCAAACATTGCGGCAGCCAAGAATCTTGCACGAATTTCTGGTATTCACGGCGAATCTGGTGAAATGCATACGCAATCAATAGAAATTATTTGGATTTGTTCAAAATTAAGTCAGAATCAAGTCATTTGTTTGTCGAAATCCGTATAAATACTCACTCGTTCATTCTGCAAGCAGTGATAGCACATGATGAAAGCACCCTGAATGATATTCAATACAACGAATCCATATCCATAGAATGTGATATTTGCCTGGGCGCTGCTATAGTGATGCGCTGATGCGGTACCAATCGAATCGTACAGTCGATGCAAGTTGACCATGTACAGATAGGCACAAACCCAACATGCCACGAATATTATTTGGAAAATAAATGAACCGTGCAAATGGAATCTGGATGACATTTCAAGCGGATTAAATGTTAATTATTGACAAACTTCTGCTTTCACGTATGGTCGAAAAGAGCAAAATAGTAATACAAACCGAATATTGGCGAGTCGTGTGTGCTCCTTGTTCTTCAGTGCAGTTTTATGCTTTTTGCATAAAACAAATGCCGATGAGACAATATACGCAAGATTAGCCTATGAAAAGCGGGAGCGCACGCAAACACGATAGAAAAAAAAGGAAAATTTGATTAAATGGAATTAAGGGGCGAATTTGCCATTGGCATGGAATTTACTTTGAAAGAGCACTAGAATAACGAAAGAAAAAACTAGAAATTGGTCATTACCAGAATATAAACGCAGCATGGCATTACGAATGTGATGTAAAATAGATAGCTTTGTTCCATCCAAACGCATGCATCAGCTTTGATGGTGTAAGCGCTCGGATCGATGCCTAACGATATAGCGACAATGGTAAACGAAAGCCCGTATGTGATTAGGTAATAGGAAATGACACGCGATGAATTTTCCACATCTAGCAATATCTCCTCGGTGGTAAGGACAATGTACGATTGAAGGCCTGAAATGATTGGTAGGTTTTTGTTTTTGGTTGTTGTTGTTGTCACTCGGTTCAGAAAATTGTTGTCGGAAAAAACGAACACGAACGAAAAATCACACGGATTTTGATTTGATTTTTTTTTTTAGCCGTGTAAAAAATGGTGCAAGAACACGCATAAAAGCATTTAATTAAGCAAGAAAGACGAAAATGTTCGGTCATCTAATTTGACACATTGGTCATTCGAAAGTACGGCACAAAAATAATAGCAGCTGCATACAAACGAACGGGACTAGCAAGCAAGTGCATGGCAGAGTTTAAGTTGAGCAGACAAAAACAGGTAACAAACAAACAAACAAACGACAACGATGTGAATTTGAAAGCAGATTTGTAGCACTTACCTTCCAAGAAAATCCAACTGATTGTGCATAGGAATGCACAATGCAAAAATGCTGTTGTAAAGCCGCACAATAGGCTCGACTCATTTTGAACGTTACCCAACCAAATGAGCACTTCAGTTACCAACAGACAGATGTATAGATTTTTATAAATTGTCGTTCGATTTGACTAAAATAAAAGAAAAGAGGGAAGGGAAAATAAAATAATTTGGTTCAGGTTTTAGTATATCAGAAACAAAAATCATGCACAAAACGAGACGAAAAAAAAGTTTTCTCTTGATCTTTTTCTTTCTTTTCTTTTCGTTCATAAATTTGGTTTTGAATGAAACAAAAAATAATTAAACATGTCAATTTGGAAAAAAAAAATTGAATTTCGGTTTTTTGTTGTGTCCAAAAATGTGTTACTTTGTTTTTGGTAAATTTTAATTTCATGAAGACCACAAATAAAATTCGTCGTCTTCATACCACAAAATATTATGAATTGCTTGATTTGATCTGATATCCAAAACAATGATTCTACTGATTTCGCTACAGAATTTTTTTTTGTTACACCAATCGTTTGTCTTTTTATGCATTCGCTTAACACATACTTAAACAATAAATGAGAGAAAAAGCCACAGAGCAAGAGAGAGATGATGAGAAAAAAAAATGAAAAATAATAAATGTTCAATATTTATTTTGTTGCTGTTTATTATATTCAATTATTATGAAAGAAAAATATAAAGTTTGCTTTATTTATTTTGTTGTTGTCGATTTTAAATGGATGGTAAAATGCAGAGAAAAAAAACACTGTGTCTGTGTCAAACTAAACAGAGATTTTGCGTTTACAAATTATCATTTACAAAAAAAAAACAGTTGACTTTTTTTATACTTTTACAAAGTGGAATACTACTTCTTTATACTTCTTCACGTAGTAAGAATTTTTCGTTGCTTTTGATCTGTATGGAATTAGGGCCAAGTGTTACCTAATCAAATTTATCGCATCAATTTGAGCTTGGCAAATTGAATCTTGTCAATTGTGTATGTTGCGAAATTCGAGTGTTTGTCTTATCAATTTCTGAACAAAAATTCGTGCATCTAAACTCATGATGATGGGCTATGATTCTGCACTTCGGCTCCTTGGTCGGTGCTCTTGCATACTCTTCGTATATTCCATTCTATGGTTTACACTATGCACACATCGCGACATAGAACCATAGTAGCCATGCGTTCGTGTGCATTTTGTCTGTGGCACACAACGGTTCAACATAGATCGAGTATGCAAGAGCACTAGAATAAGCCAAAGTGCAGAATCATAAATCACACCATGAGTTTGAGTGCAAGAGAGATTTGTTGAGTTGTATTCAAATTTTTTTTCTGGTCTTCCTTTGTATTTCTTTTGTCAATTGAAACTGAGCGAAAAACAAAAATTGTTAATATTATTGTCCTAATTTCTTTGTCACACACACATACACGTGTGTATGTGTGAAATCATACTTAAAACATATCGATTTGTACATAAATGTATGACAACCTAAAAATTAAATCTATCACATTGGTTTTTGTTTGCACTAACATTGAATTAAATAAACAATTAAAAAAAAAAATAATAAACACGTCGAATTGACCTAACGCAAAAAAAGTCTTTGAAAGGTTTCAGGATAAAACCGCAAAAAAAAATATATTTATATACTCTATATATGAATAAATCTCGTTAATGCAGTACAAAGGGAGAAAAGTTTTGCACAAAATTATTGCCGTTGTTCTCATTGTGGTCATGGTTGTCGTCGTCGTGGTGGTTAGACGATCTGTTGTGAGTATCGTGGGTAGTGGGAGTGTAGATGACCTTGTAAGTGACCACGGGCCATGAAATTGTTTGCATTGCCCACTCGTGTCATGGGAAAGTTTTCATTGTTTGAAGTTGGACGTGGCGATGTTTGTGAACGGCCACCGCCACTATTGTCATTAACCTCACCGCCGCCGCCGCCGCCGCCGCTACCATCGTTGTCATTGTTGTCATTGTTCGATTCACCTTTGCGTAAATTCACAATTAAATCGGTGCGATCCGATTGGCCGTTTTCATTGGCCGTGGCCAGTTTAAGACCAACACTGTTATTAACATTGGCCGAATTGACAGTGTTTGCATTGAACACATTCGAATTGAACACAAAGTGATTGTGTGAATTGCCATGTGACACTGATGGAATCGACGGTGGTGGCAAATGAAAATGATGATGATGATGGTAATGATGATGAAAATGCTGATAATTTTGCAATGGAATTCGTTCGCTTAAGCTATTTACTGCGCTAATCGTACAATCATTGTTTGGCATTGTTAAACTATTGTTTTGTGGATTTTCACGATTCATTGATTGACATGTCATTGCATTTAATTCATTCATTGCATTCGCAAAACCATCGTTGACAAAATGCTGATTTTGTCGCTGATGTTGTTGCTCCAAATTTATAAAACTACTTAATTGAATATTCGAACTATTCGTTTGTAATGTATCGTTTTGTCCATGTTGGTGGTGAAGTTGGTGTTGGTGTTGGTGATGGTTTGGTTGTGTTGTTCTTACCTTCATGAAAATGCCATTAAAAAACTTTAGCGTTAACAGGGCTATTACTACAAATACAATACAAATGGCAATGCTGATTGAGATTAAAATGCGCATATTCTCATCGAATAGCCCGATTTGCTGGATAAACTGCGCCGTAAAGAAGAAAAAAATGAAACAAATTTAAATCGGTTTTATTCACCATGGAAACGGAAGCTATTGGTATTTTCATTGTTTTTAAATTCAGTGAGTGTAGGGTGTAGGATGATTGAAATGTATACCTGCGCCGTATCATCGATCACATCCATCAAAATGGCAAAGTTTGTCAAATGATTGCACATACAAATCGTGTGCGTTCGATTCGTTTGATCGATGTGACAACCGTCTTCCGACCACGCACTACGGAAAAAAACACAAAACAGAGAAGAAAAAAAAAAAACAAAACACAAATTTGAAATTGGCATTCAATTAGAGTGAAATAATGTACGAATCGAATGGAGATTGATTGACAAAAAATAAAATTAAACTAAATTATAATTGACATACTGATCAATGTAGTTCCAGAACACGCATGTTGGATTGGTTACGTTGTCGGTTTGCAAATGTTTCAGAATCAATCGAATCGGTTGAGACAATTGGATGTGACGGCCTTTACCCAAACTCGCCGATATCACCTTGCTATTGAGTATTCTGACACGAGGCTGTTGCGATTGGGTGGTGTTGACACTTTCCTTAGTTGTCACAGGCGCATATTCAGATGGCCCTGTTAACGAAAGCATGAGGATGATTTAGATGAATCTTCATGAAAGATGATGAATTGAATTCATCATTTAAGATCGAAGAGTATAAGATTCCATTTGAAAGAGATTTCATTCAATTCAATGCTCTCAATTTTCGTTCACGGAATGCGCAATATTGTATTCATGGTTTGAATAATATCGCATTTTACGCATTATGAAAAGCATTTTAAAGGTTTTTCACATTGTGTTCGTATTTCCAACAGAAAAACAAATGTCTCCCTTACCTATCGTTTCCTCGTTACCAACACTGTCGTACGATTTCGGTTCGTTGCCCGAATCCAAAGGTCGAAGAATCGATTCAAGTCGATCGAATGCTACAAAAACGATGCGAACCAATCCACCCTCGCTATTTTCAAGTAGAGCACCTCGCGGTAATTCGATGCTGTCTTCACTGTTACTGTCCTGTTCAATGCTTTGATCAGGGAACACTTGATTGCTGATAATATTGCGTGTTTCCAGTACTCGAACCGACAAAACTGCAAGTAATTAGGTAAAAAATTCAAATTATTAACCTTTCTTCTGTGAAAATGACAAAATCGATTTCCTCAAACCGATAAAAGAAAAAATCCGGTATACTTACGAATATTTTTGACTTTTTGTACGACATTCCGTTCGGCCGCTATGGTATCGGCAAGTAAAAAGGCATTATCTTCTAAGCCAGTCAATAATGATGTAGCCACTCGCATTTGATCTTCAAAGCTTAAATCCATCCATGAATACTGTTGCGTTTCATCGAGTAAATTGCTGCCCGTTTTTACGACGCTATTCAACAGCTCGAGCACAACGGATTCGCGTTGACGTTGATCGGAGAATGTTTCAATGTCATATGTCATTTTTTCGCATAACGATTGAATGATTTTCGTTGTAACCAGCATATCACCGCCGTATAATGTTTTGCTATTGGTGACCTGATGGTGAAATTTAAAGGAGAAAAAAATGAAACAAATTTAAATCGGTTTTATCCACCATGGAAACGGAAGCTATTGGTATTGTCATTGTTTATAAATTCAGTGAGTGTTGGGTGTAGGATGATTGAAGTGTATACCTGTGATAAATCATTTGCAATTGAAACTAATGCTGAATCTCGTTGATTAACACGAACTTCGAGACTGTTGAGCCATAAACTTCGGCACTGGGTGAGATCAGGTGTGCTGGGCTGCCACATGTATCCACGTTCAGTGTTGCTGGCATACAATGGATCATCGTCCATATGATTGTCATTGGTATCGTCGGCCGATGGGTTATTGCGTGACGACGGTTTTTGTGATTTGGTTGCTGTTGGCAAAAGTGTGCCCGAACATCGCCATTTGGCAATGCCCGTCGAACCGGGCGGACACGGTTGCACATTGATATCACCAACACGTGTATAATTCCAAAAAAGATTCCGTGCTGTGGTCGATCCACAATACAGACCGTTTGTATCATCATTGTAAGCGCCAGCATTATTAATTGTATTCACTCCTCCGGTCGATTTTCCGGTGCTGCCAAAATCTTGCTGCGAATTTAAATCATCCGTTCGATCATCATCACCGTCGCCACCACCCCCACCACCACCGACCATCGATTCATCATCCGAATTGACAATAGTTTTCAACGGCGGTGCCGAGAATGTTGACGACGACATTGGCGTATTGGCGCCAAGATTTATTGGTATATTATGATTGCTATTATAGATTGACTTGGTGACTGCCGCAACCGATGCATTTTCATTATTTCGATTGGTCGTCGATGCGCTTAACGATGATGTGTCATTTTTGTTGCTGTTGGCAAACGGTATGCCGCTTACTTTCGATTGTGTCACAGATTTGGATCGATTCGCTAACGAATCATTTGTATTACTACTTGGTTTATTACTACTATCCTCGTTATCACTATTGGACTTGTTGCTAACATTAAAATTACTATTTCTGTTAATGGAAAAGACGAGAAGAGATTTTTTTTTTGCTTTTAATAAAATGAACACCGAAAAAAAATGGAGGAAATGAAGTGGCAAAGTGAACGGGAGAGGGTGTGAATGAGAGACAAAAAAAAATCGAAAATAAATCGCTTACCTATTTACAATACTGTCAACTGTAGACAATGAATCCAAGTCACGTATACGGGCTGTCGTTGGATAGCGTATGGTTGATGTGCCCCAAACGCTTGGTTGCGATGTTATCAGCCACGCTGGGCTCGGCCGAGCCGTTGTTGATGTGGCTTGTGACGCTGCAACGTGTTTGAGAGCGAGAGTGAGAGAGAGAGAGAGAGAGAAGAAGAGAAAGAAAACAAATGAACCAAACCGCTTAGCATTCTATTTAGTACAAATGGCTCTGATCTCATAGCAGAAAAAAAACCAACGAAAAAAAAAAATCCAGCAATAGAGATAGAAAATACTATCCCGAAAACCGGGGCCAATTTCTTACCTGATACACATTGATAATGAGCTTCTAAGTATTTATGTGTGCCGGGGCATGGATCGCCGAATGTGTTTGTGCTGGCCAGAATGCTGCAGTTTTGCTTGTGTGAGCATTTTGCGTATAGTACACGCAAACTCTTGGCCGACATGCAATTGACGCTCCAGTCCACATTGCCTTGATCATTGCAAATGGTTATCGAAAATCGGCCATAATTTGCACGTATCAAATTGATCACATAGCCCGGCTCACATCCGATTGTCAACGTTTTTTCCTCACATGCGTATGCCGTTTCATATTTGGGCGCTGCACAACAAAAGGGCGAGTGGACGAGTGAGAGAGAGAGAGAGGGGGAGAGAGAAAGAACAAAATTATGAACGGTGAGTCACTTGGGAATTGAATTGTTCTGGTTGGTTCGGTTTGATGAGTCAAAATTTTATAAGAATTTCTATGGAAAACCGCAAACAATGGAAACTTTTTCGAACGGGGGAAACTTGTCGTAACCGCCGCCGCCACCGCCACAGATATAAAAGGAGGCGGTTCGAAACTGTCTCGTAAATAATAATCGTTTGGGGATTTCAATAGGTAATAATCATCTCTGGTAGATGACGAATGCAAAAGTCATTTTTGAGAAGTTTCGCAATGCGTCATATGCTCCACTGAGTACCGATCCCGCTCGCTTAACCGTTTTTTCATGCGTTTGTTTTGTTTGGTTTTCTGTGGTGAAAACGCCGAAACGATAAAACTTTCAAATGACAATTTGCATGTCGCATCTATCGTTCATTCACTCTTCGCTCGCACGCGTGCACATAGACACACACGCACACCTACTTACACGCAGTGAGCAACGAAACGAGACCAAAAATGCCTCTATTTATATTCATAACCGTTTGCTTGGCGTGTGTAGCGGGTGCGCGCTCGTGCGCGCACATGCGAATGCTAGTGAAATGAGAGATGGATGATGACTTTGAAGAATGATAGAGAGAATATGTGTATTATATTGGTAGAATGGACCGTTTTATACTTACTGACAGCGACAACGGAAACTGGATATATCGACAGTGATACAAATAGCGTAATGTACAGAGATATCATTAAAGTATTAACTAAATTAGTGGCTAAGAGATTTGGTTTAACGACTATTCGTTCATGCGACGGAGACGATTGCTGAATTTGTGCGTGCTGGCTGTTGAAGCTGTTGCTGTTTCGGTTATTGTTGTTTTTGTTAGTACAATTATTGTTGTGCTGGTTGTGATGATAATGATGAAGTTGACGACGACGACAATGATGCCGTCGTCGTTGTCTATTTGCAGTTGGTGGTGGTGATGATGCTGTTGTTATTTGATAGATGTTCTGGAGGTGAAGCAGCAATGATGATAAAATTGCCGTGGCTAAGTTTCCGGCTGCGATGTCTGTGAGCGTCTTCGGTAATTTACATATAGATGACATTAAAATAATGAGCAAAGCGGCATGTGGCTGGTGTTGTTGTTTCGGTCGATGTATGCGTTTGTGATTTGGACTGTTCATCAAGTTTTATTCTCTCATTTACTTTACTCGGACAGAAACAACACGCGCGATTTAAAACCAAAACACACACACACACACAAACGACACAAAGAATAAAAACAATATAACTGAAAATAATCGGTTTGTGTGTTTCGTTTTGATTCTTCTTCTTCTTCTGGATAAATCGTTTGTTTTTTTCTTTTTTATCTGTTGTTTTGACGATAGTTGACAGTCGCAGAATAATAAGCGCTCGCTTGCTCTCTCTCTCTCGATGCGACACTCTCTTTACTTCGTTCTTTCGTGTTCTCAACCGAATTAAAATATGAATAATATTTTTTTTCGGTCGTTTTTTTTTAAACTCTTTTTTTTGTTTTATTTATCGTAATTCGATCGGTCGATGCTCTCCTCACACGCTGAGCGATTTTCGATTTTATTATCGATTATCTCGTTAAAATCGAACCACATGAACAACAACATCAGCTCTCATTCTCTATGAGTATCGAATCGGTTCTGAAAATGCTTTGTGTTGTTACGTATGGCCTTTTTTATTCTTGTTCTCCTTGTTTAAAAAAAATTGGTTGACACAACGATATTGGAATTACCGAATGAACAAAAAAAAATCCAACCGAAACTCAAACAGAAAAAAAATTGAATCTATCGGTTGGTCTGTTGTTTTATGGTTATTTGTACTGATTAAAAATGCACGATGTACTCGGACCCATTCAAGTCGCACTGAAATTCGATCCTGTCGATTTGCGGGTGTGTATGCTTCTCTCTCTCTCTCTCTATATCACTCCGTGTGTGTTTACGTTTATCGTTTTTAAAAAGAGATGGAAATTTCGAATAAATATTTTGAGATCGATTTGAATCGGTTCTTGTACTTCTTCTTTTTTTTGCTACTTCGTATGAGTGGTTTCTAGCATATGTGTTGTGTGTGAGCTTCTTTTTTTTCCGGAGTGTTATTGAGGTAAAAAAAAGAACTTTTCGTTTGTGTGTATATAAATTTTTCAAATCGAACCACTCGAGAAATGGGTTTTCTTCGATTTTTATCAAAAAAGCGCAGCACACACGATGAGAACGAGAACGGCAACGATAGCGATAGAATCGAAACGGTTTCTGTTCGTTCAAGAACGTATGATGTTGATGAATATGCAAATGATATTTTCGGTGTAAGCGCGTTTTCATAAATCGTTGTGGTGCTTATTTTTCCCGGTATTTTGATACATATTTCATTTTCATTTCCATATCACATCTAGGCTATGCGGTTCGATATCAGTTTTACGTTGTAAATGCTTGTGTGTGTATGTATGTATGTATGTATGCAAGCCGCTGTTGATGATCCTGCAAAGACAGAAGAGGAAAAAAAATAGATAAAAAATTAATATATGAATACCTATGACCTCAACGCCATCATTTATTCATTGACAAGACAAAAACCTGAAAATGGATGGGTTTTTCGGACGCAATAGATAAAGCAAACGAATCAACACCTGCTTGAATATTCACAATACACACACACACAAAAAATCGTTCATTATACAATTGTCCCCCTTATTTTAACCAACAACAACAACACACAAAAAACAGCAAACAAAAACTGAACGAGTGATGCCTGTTCGACCAACGATAATTCGATTCAGGCAATCATTTCGAAGGGTAATCATAATCAATGAAGATAGCCTCTTTCGTAAGCGCAACCAAAAAATGAAGGAAAAGAAGAAGAAGAAGAAGAAAAAAAATGATCAAAATGTGTGCCAATCTAATTAGGCGGGCCAATAATGTTGCGTTCGGCACGGTTAATTCATAAAGTTATTATATTCAAAGGGATCTTTTTTTCCGATCAACCGCTTCGAATATACACCTGAATGCCAACGAATCAAACACACACACACACACACACACAAAGAAGAAGAAGAAGAAGAAGAAAAAAACTCTCAAGTGAACCTCATTATTGTGAAAGCCTTTGTTCGGCGCTTGGCATTCGCATACGTACGAATAAGGCACGACTGTGCCTAAATATCCCTCATTCATGCTTTGAAGACTTTTTAATTGAATGAATATTTTAATAAGCAATTTATACCGAGTACGCGCTCCGCATTGCCTCATCAACTCTCTCGTGCACATACATTCACTATGCTACGTCGATATACCGAATCGAGCCAATGAATATATGGCCAAAATGAAATTTTGTCGCGCGCTTTTAGCACGAAATTCGATTTTAAGTCTTTGTGTTCACGCGAAAATGGAACCGAAACACAAAACGATGGAGAATAAGCAAAAGGAAAAAAAACATATTTATATCGAAGAGCACACGAATCCAAGTTGCTTGAATGTTGTCGATTTTCTTGACGAGAAAATCCAGCGGGAGTTCTATTGATTTAGCATGACAAGACATCTTTTGTCATGGTATGCGCGGCGCGTACCCCGTGTTTCCAACATGGAGTCTAGCCGCTAGCTTTCGATTTATCTATCTTAAATCAGATGAAAGAACTGTAGAGAGAGAGAGAGAGAGAGAGAGAGAGAGAGAGAGAGAGAGAGAGAGAGAGAGAGGGAAAAAACAGGAGAATCCGAAGAAAAAAACGTAAAGTTTCGAAATGCAGATCGATTCCAGTGAATAAACAGCTTCACCGTATCATCAAACCATCGACAAAAATAAGAGATTCTTTTATCACAAACAAAAAATCAAGAGATTCAAACTTTCCTGCAAAATAAGCGATTTTGTCCCCGTCTTTCATTCGGGTCGCTTGCCTGCCTGCCTGCCTGCCTGCCTGCCTGTTGTGTTCTGTTTTCAACTCAATAAATTATTAAGCAATCGATTAACGGACAGGCGTGATGTGAGCGGCGAATGTTTGACAATTCATCGAATTCCCCAACGACAATTGACGAACAAACAATTTTCCAGAACAGAAACGAAAGAAGAAGAAAAAAACATTCAGAGAAAGGGAGAGAGAGTAAGAAAAGACGAAATGAAAAAGAAACGTGACACATATTTTCCATGGTCTCTAGTTTTCTATTTATTCTTGGCAATCTGCACAACGACAGAACACATCGTTTAACAAAATAAAATCTCAATTTTCATGAACTTCGTCGCTGTCGTCGTCGTCGTCGTTGCATATATATTTACTGTGCTGGGTTCATAAATTAAGTAGATCTGATGCGTATTTTATGAAATTTTTGCCAATCGATTGGTTTTATTGGCGATGAGAGTTTCGTGTTATTTTTCTTTTCGGTTGTATATATATATATATTTCGGTGTCTTGCTTCGCTTCGGTTCACTTGACTATCTATCTAACTTTGGTTTTGCATGCTTTAGCCTCCGGTACGTGTATGTGTCGCTTTTCGGTTGCGCCCTTTTCCCTTTCGACGGTGTGTGATTCACGTACACACAACCACATGCGAGATGCAAGCAAGAGACAAGTGAGGTGAGAGAGACAGAGACACGGAGAGATCGAATGAGCATGGCATTGTGCAAGAAAAATCGAGCGATTTTTGAAGAGCGTAAAATTTTTCATATTACACGCCATTAGATTACAATAACGTGCAAAGAATATTGTGTTCGAGTCTTCTTTTTTTTCGTTCCGGAGGCCCGTGTGTTTGAGCGAACGGGTGTGAGCGCTCGACAGAACGAGGAAGAGCGAGAAAGACATCGATATGAACTGAAACTTCTGCTTTTTCGTCTGCATGACATGGACCGCTGCTGTTGCGGCTGCTGCCTTCGGTACTTTTTTTTTTTTTTTGATATTTTGCTCTGTATCTATTTACGCAATTTTCGTTTCTCGATTTTCTCATTCCTCTCCGCGTATGTGTACGCGCGCGCGCTCGTTTTTAATACCCGTGCGATGTAAACATACACATATAATATAATTTCCATTACCCACGATTTTGGTATAATGAAAAAGGCATTATTTTCACGATGTGAACCCATCTGAAAAGCATATTTTAATACACATATAATATGTGTTGTTTTGCTGTTGTTGTTGTTGTTATTATTTTTTTTATTCGTCGCCGTTCTCTCGGTGATTCGCAGCGAATCGGTAAGTGTCGATTACAGATAATTTTCAATACACACATTTTATTCTTTTTTTTCTCATAATAATAATAATATTCTTCGGCCCTTGATTTGCCGTTCGAATATATTTCGTTCCGTGTGCTATGATATGTTGTGCTACACACCTTCAAATAAATTGTGCCGATCCGTTGTATGGATGTGAAAGTCGTAATTCGTTTTTGGCGAATGAGCGCGAGCGTGAGTGCGAACGCAAGCGCGCGGCTCAAAACAAAAGGCATTTTGGTAGAAAGAAGAAAGAATGAAAAGAAAAAAGAAAAAAAATAAAGAATCGTGTGCCAGACGGGAATGAGCGTACACCACGAATATCCATCCTGAAAATTAGTAATAATAGTAACACAATGTTGCTCAAGCTTGAGCTCAACACAGCGTTCGTTCGTATGCTCGATCCATGCAATAATCAACAAAATGGTAATAAGCATACACCGGGAGCGAGAGAGCGAGAGCGTAAGAGAGAAAATGTGCGCCATTATTATTATTACTACTATGATTCATTTCGTCTTTTTAGTAAATTTTTTCTCTTTCGGCAGGCTGGCTGCCTTACTTGCTTATTTTTGTTTTGTACAATTTTTGTGTGTGTTTGGTTTTTTTCTTTCTGTTTCTACGCTATTTTTTCTCGGTTGGATGGAACAAAGTTTTTTTTTTAAGGTGTATGCCGTCATGTATTAAGCATGTGTGTTCGTGCCGGTTATGTGAAAATGTACCCTATAAAATACCCTAATACCATGTGACGATATGCCGAATGCCGAACTGTGCTTCATGTAAGCGTGTATGAGTGTGTGATTGCTCGCTTCATTACTTCGCACATATCACAGAAGGCATTTCATTTAAGGTACACAAAAAGGAATGAAGTAGAGAAACTCGACACACACATCAAACAACAATACAACAGAAGAGAGAGAGAGAGAGAGAGAGAGAGAGAGAGAGAGAGAGAGAGAGTACAAGAAAAGAAAAATTAGTATAGTTGTTGTATAGAGAGTAGTAGTAACATCCATACAAAAGAATTCGAGTTGAAACACACGTAGAGCGTAAGATAGAGATATGATGAAGAGAAAAGCATTGAAGAAAGAACGAAAGAAAGAAAAAAAATAAAATATGTTGTAACTGTTGTCGCACTGGCACTGCTCTCAGATGCTATTTGAGCGCACACTGTGTGTATGACTACGACGATGACGACGATTTACATGGAAAAAGCAGCCAGCGCTGCTGCTGGCTTTCGATATGCTCTAAAATGCATGATGTATTTACATGTTGTTTAGTATGCCTATTGTTCATCAAAGGCAAAGGAAAGGCTAGAGAGAGAGAGAGAGAGAGAGAGAGAGAGAGAGAGAGAGAAATAGAAAGAAAGAAAGGAAAAACACACACGAATGAATGCGATCAGTGTGTTTTCATATTCGGATATCCATACAGAAGCGTGTGTTTTTGTTAAGCGCAAAACAGCATGGGTTTTCTCGGCTCTGGCTTTGGTTTTGGCTCTCACTCTCTCTCCATCGCTCCCGCTCTATGGATCGTTTATGCTATGCATGTATAATGTCATGCTTAACGAATATGTCACAGTTCATAGAACATAAACCTTAATTATATTAAATTTAAATCAATATTTTTATTCTGGTGTGAAATATATTCTGTCATTTTGTCGCTCCATCTCGCCTCGCTGCCTTTTTTTCCCTCCGCGCTCATACACACAAGCACACATTCTGTTCTTCAGTATTTTCTATGCCTCGCAACAAACATTATTCACGTTCATTATATTTATGAAATTTTCATAATTTTTTTTTTTCGTTCATACGAAAATGCGACACATTCACGAGGTGAATTTTGGAGTGTGTGTGTTTGTATGTGTGCGTTTGGAGGCGCGCTGGTACTTTTCCAACAGTAAATGTTTAAGAGCTCATTCGTGCGACTTAAACGCGATGGTGGTTGCTATTATTGCTGCTCGGCTGGCTATTTGTGTATGCTCAAATGCTTCATCGCTTGCTGCTCTGTCGCCAGTTGTGCGATAAGGATTTTCATGAAAATTTCATAGTCAAATGCATGGAAAATCGAAACCTCTCTCCTCTATTTCTCTCTGTGTGCGTATGTCTCTTTCTCTCTCTTCCATTCGCAACTAGTCTCCGAGGCGAATAGAATAATAAAGAAAGGAATAGAGAGGGAAAGAGAGAGAGAGAGAGAGAGAGAGTGAAAAAAAATTGCAGCGTATAACCGACGAATTAACACTGTTGTCGACAGCAACAGCAACCGAGTAGGAAAAAAATGAAAGCAAAAGCAAACCCCA